ACCCTCACGTAGGACCGGCTAGACGAGCTGCTGCGACAACTGCACGAAAATTCCGAAGAAATCGCGGCGCTGACAGCGGAACACACGTCCCTGCAAAATGACGCCGCACGAGCACAGCAAGCACAATCTCAAGCACCTGGCTCTCCGGTACAGCCCGCACCACAGACATCGCAATATGGAAGCGTGGGGCAACCCGCGAGCGCGGCCAGTGATGGCGTCGTCCGCCACGACGGAGACGACGACCACGGCACGACACACCCCGAAGCGACGAATGCGGCCAGGAGTCAGCCTCGAGTCATGATTTCTGTGCCGGCCGGCGAATCAACACTGCCGTCGCCGATGCCGCTGAAGCCGCAGCGTCCGCCAGGCTTTGACCCGAGTCAACGGGATGGTCCTACCGTTCAGGCGTGGTTGTTCATGTTGAACGTTTTCTTCGACGCCAACTACGTCTCGGAGGATACGGCGAAAATCCGCTACGCCGTGTTGCTGCTGCGAGGACCCGCCATGGACTGGTGGCGTGTCATCGTCACGAAGTCGGTGGACTACGCGACTCTACCGACACGGGAAGGACAAACCGGACCCTGGTCGCCGTCGTATTTCGTAGAGGTGCCCCAATATCGCACGTGGGACGCGTGGTGCGCAGGTCTGCGCGCACGATTTGAGCCAACCGCGGCTTCGATCGCGGCTCGCCAAAAGCTCCGCACTTGGCGCCAGCTCGGTTCCGTCCAGGACTATACTAGCGGGTTTTTTGCGCAGTGCAAGCAGGTGGGCTACATGCACGAGGGCGAACGCATCGACCGCTACATCGGCGGCCTAAAACACGAAATCGCCCAAGAAATCCAGCTCCGCAACGTCACTGAATTTCTGGCGACTCTCGCCATGGCGGAGAAGCTTGACTTCTTACGCCGACCGAGACCGGGGTCCTACGGCAACAACAACAACTGGGGACATCGGCCTCGTGGGACAAAGGAGCACGCCACGATACGTGCCGTCGCTGCGAATGCCGCTGCTGCACCATTCAGAGGGCTCTGCTTCGCATGCAATCGGCCAGGACACCGCAAGAGCGAATGCCCGGAAAACGTTTAGGGAAAGGGGGAAGCTGAGCAGCAGAAACAGACCAAGCAGTAGGGAAACGCTGGGAGTCAGTTGCAGACGGGCCCTCTGCTGACAAGTCACGCCGCTCGCCCGACCCAACCGACCCTCACTGAGTGATTGTGCCGGTTCACGCAATCGAGCACACCCGGCCGAATAAGGAGGGTACTACGGTAGACAGCCCCATACTACTTAGTGGGAAAATCGGGATAGACTTAGTTAAAATCTTCGTAGATGGGGGAGCCAGCCACAGCCTCATCAACACTGCCACGGCACGGAAACTGAAACTGCCACTGGACAGATGCTTACCTGAGATCGACGCAAGACTGGTTGACGGCACGCCACTGGCGATACGGGAACGCGTAGACCGAGTTCGGATTCGATGCGGGGGTAACTTCACGTTTAGCCAGGAAATGCTCGCGACAACCCTCAACGGAACAGACATTTTACTCGGCCGTGATTGGCTGCGACGACACAATCCGCGAATCGACTGGACAACGGGTGACTGCATCGTGCGAGTGAACGGTAACAACATCGCCTTACCTCGCTGGAGCTCGCTTGAGCCTTCGTCGGTGCGTATCAACGCGATCACGACGAAACGCGCCGTAGCGGCAGGAGCTGGCGTGTACGCGGTTGACATTCGGGAAGCCGAGGAAGCAGACAAAGGGGGGGATTTACGGAAACTGCTAGCCGACGTACTGGATGACCTGGCAGCACTCCTGAAGCAGTACAGTGAAATATTTCCGGACGACCTGCCGACGGGACTGCCACCTCAGCGACCGTACGACCACAGGATAGAATTAGAACCGGGGGCACAGCCGACAGTACAGCGACAGTTCCGACTGACCCAACCCGAACTGGACGAACTGAGGAAGCAGTTAGATTACCTGCTCGAAAAAGAATCCATTCGCCCTTAAAAAGGCAAATGTCATCGCTAAGCGCAACGCTGACCGCCACCACCGCCCAGTCCCGTACCAGTCAGGAGATTACGTAGTGCTCGACACACTGAACCTAAGACTGCCCGTCGTGCCGAAATTACGACCGCGCTACTGTGGACCATTCCAAATCAGCCGCATGATCACCCCAAGTGACTGCACACTTACTGTTGCCGACGGACTGGTACATCAGCCCATCGTTCCACGTCAGCCTGCTTCGACCCAACATCCCAACCACCAGCCAACTGCCGCGTCACCGCCCGCCATCCATGACTCGCCTTGCATCGGAGCCGATCATCGAGCCCGAATGAGCCATCGGATTCGACACCCAACGGGAATCAGGAGAATTGAATTCCTCGTTCGCTGGAAGGACCGCACGCCAACTGAGGATAACTGGGTGCCCCTGGCCAACATCGAAAACCACCATGCCCTGCAAGTGTACCTGAGGAGCCGGGGTTTCCGCGATATACACGCACTCGCGTAGCGGAGGGGGCTTCTTGAGGGGGGGGGGGGGTAGTGTAAGGAATTTTCTCGACATTCCTTATCGCATCCCGCAACACCGCGTACGGCAGCAGCCGTTGCTTCGCCCGTTACTGCTAACGGGGCCTCGCCGACTTCGCGCGCACTATTTCACCAAACCTCGTACTGCTGGCCCGGCCGTGTCGGCCTATGCTTCGGGGCTAGCCCGAACCTCACTGCCAGCGTAGCACTAGCTAGCTCGCACGCACCGCGTTACCGTTTGAAGGTTTCGCGTATAAATGTTTGCTCATGCCTTCGCTCACATTTTGTACTCGTTTGACACTTAGTGCAATCCTCGCTACCTCGATTCATTGCACCCGTAACAACACGTAACAATACAGATAATGCTGGAAGGAATTTAATTCATTAGTGTAGACTTACCTTAGCGAGTATGTTTTGAGGGATCTTGTGTCAGCTGGGTTCAGCCTAAACTTTCGCCCCCGACAAATCCCAAGACGCCTTCTCTTCAGGCCATCTCCGCTCCCCTACCCAACGTTAGGTGACGCGCGCCGATCACCTTGCTCCACTCACATTTGAAGTCTCTCGTTAACGCGCGCTAAAAAATCGCCTCGAACATCCGCATCCACTCATGATCCGAGCCGCGCGTGATGGCTCACCAGCGCGCCGCTTCGGCTCCCCTGGCGGAGCGCATGTTGCACCTCGTAGAGTTAACTCCTTCCGGCCGGCCCGTGCTGTTCCCCGGCGAGGTAGAGAGCCTATTAATCGACGACGCGGGGATTGAGTTCGAGGAGGTAGGCTCCGGCGCTTCCGCCGCGCATCCCGCCGCAAATTCCGGCGCGGTTCTCGAAGCGGAGTCGCTTCGCGATGGCGTCGCGTCGCTCACCACGCACCGGTTGATCTGGATCGACGAACGGCCGGCGACAGGTGGTAACCGGAAACGAGCTTTCGCCGTACCCCTCGTCGCCGTCGCGAATGCTTCCGCTGCAGGGTGGAGACTCACCTCAGTTTTCGCCTCCCCTCGTGTTCGCATGTACGTCTTACTAGACCCGCAAGGGCGGGCTGTTTTGTCATCTTCTGCCATTGGCAGAAGCAGCTACAACACACAGAGCAGCAACTTAGGGACTAATTTAGGACGAACCGCGTCATTAGTAGCCGTTTTAAGAGGCCAGGCCCCTGCTGACGTGTTCCTGAAAAAACTCAACGAAGCGTTAGCGGTTAGAAAGTGGCAGGAATTACCTTTTCCGGGGCTAGTACCCCTCCCTGCTGCTGCCTCCGCATCTCTCCCCGCCCCGCCCATCGGCGCAGCAGCAGCAGCAGCAGGACTTGGCGCACATGGTGGGGGCGGAATGGGGGGTTCATCAACTGGCGGAGCGAACCCCCTGTATTGGGGCAGTGCGGGGTATGGAAGCGGGGGAATGGGCGCAGCAGGGGGAGTCGGGGGGGCGGGGGGAGCAGGGGGTTCGGGGGGCCCTCCCCCAGCGCAGTTCAGCACAGCAATGGCGGGGGTGGGGGGGATTCTGAGGCGCGAGGCGGAGCAGAAGCAGGCGACGGATCGCAGCCTGCAAGAAGCATTCTCCGACCTGAATGCACTCATGGTGAGTGGAGTTGAGGGTATGAGTCCACTACCTACAGTGTTCAGCCTATCGCTCCAGTAGTCACAGGTTCGAAGCATGCTGGAGGCGTTTTTGGACCTCAATGCACTCATGGTGAGTGGAGTGGAGTGGAGGGAATGCGGTGATGGTGAGGAGATGAGATGACTACCTACAGTGTAAAGCCTATAACTCCAGTAGTCATTGGATCGAAGCCGGCGGGAGGCGTGTTCTGTCCTGAATGTGCTCATGGTGAGTAGAGAGTATGGGCCTGGAGAGTGTATGGGCCGGGAGTGGAACCAGCATGCACCTCCTTGCAGCATTAGCGAGTAGAAGCATGCAGGGGACGTTGACTGCCTTCCTGAATGCGCTCACAGGACAGAAGCGTGAGGAGAGTGTATGCGCCTACCTGCAGTGCTCACAGGACAGAAGCGTGAGGAGAGTGTGCCCATCCCATCCCATCCCATGCCATGCCATGTCATCCCATCCCATCCCATGCCATGTCATGCCATCCCATCCCATCCCATGCCATGTCATGCCATCCCATCCCATCCCATCCCATGCCATGCCATCCCATGCCATGCCATCCCATGCCATGCCATGCCATGCCATGCCATGCCATGCCATGCCATCCCATCCCATCCTCTGGTTCGTTTGCCGTGTTTCCTGTGTGCTCCTGCGAACACATTTGCCCCTCCTCCCCCCTCTGGCTGGTGCCTTTTGCCCTGTCCATGCAGGACAAGGCGAGCGAGATGGTGAAACTGGCAGAGAGAATGCGACACAAGCCGACAAGCAGCAGCAGCAGCTGCAGCATGGGGGGGAGGAGGGTGGGAGGGTTTGAGGCGTCTCACAAAAGCCACTGTTTTACGCGTTTTCCTGCTTTCCCTCCCTTCTCTTTTTGCAGGCCAAGGCTAGCGAGATGGTGAAACTGGCCGAGAGAATGCGACAGAAATTGCAGCAGCAACAGGGGGCAGCGAGTGGAGAAATCGCCCCTTCCCTCTCCTCCTCGTCCTCCTCATCATCATCAGCAGCAGCAGCATCGGAGGAGTTACAGGACCTGCTACTGAAGATGGGAATTGAGTCGCCCGTCACGAGAGAGACCGCAGGGGCGCTCTATCACAGGCAGCTGTCCCGAGAGGTGGGCGCTCCTACCACAAGAATTAGGGTTTCGAGTTTGGCAGAGGTTGGGTGCTCTATTACAGGAATCTGCCTAGGGAGGTGACTGCTCTATCACTTCCCTCTCCTCCTCCTCCTCCTCCTCCTCCTCCTCCTCCTCCTCCTCCTCCTCCTCCTCCTCCTCTTCCTCCTCCTCCTCCTCTTCCTCCTCCTCCTCCTCCTCCTCCTCCTCCTCCTCCTCCTCCTCCTCCTCCTCCTCCTCCTCCTCCTCCTCCTCCTCCTCCTCCTCCTCCTCCTCCTCCGTCTTTGCAGAGGGGGGGACTGTGACACAGGCAGCAGTCAGTGTGGTGGGTGGTCTGATCTGATCTGCCACAAGCAAGCAAGCAGGCGCTTCATCATCCTTTGCTTTTGCCCCTCGCAGTGAATCACGATGGAAGCGTGCTGCACACGACTCTCAAAGTTGAGCAAAGTACCACAAGTGCTCATCCCTCGTGCACTCTTCATGCCCCTAAGCTGGAGCGTCCTTCTCACTCAACTGTCTCGCCTTAAATGTTTACAAGCTCTCAGCCCTCTGATGAATCGTTTCCTCTCTTGAGCCCATTGCTGGTATTGTGTGCTGTCTCACCTGCTCACCTCCTCCCATTCCTCTCCCCTGCCCCCATTCCTTTCCCTTCCTCCCACTCCTTTCCCTTCCTTCCATCCCTCTCCCCTGCCCCCATTCCTTTCCCTTCCTCCCATCCCTCTCCCCTGCCCCCATTCCTTTCCCTTCCTCCCATTCCTTTCCCTTCCTCCCATTCCTCTCCCCTGCCCCCATTCCTTTCCCTTCCTCCCATCCCTCTCCCCTGCCCCCATTCCTTTCCCTTCCTCCCATTCCTTTCCCTTCCTCCCATCCCTCTCCCCTGCCCCCATTCCTTTCCCTTCCTCCCATCCCTCTCCCCTGCCCCCATTCCTTTCCCCTCCTCCCATTCCTTTCCCTTCCTCCCATTCCTCTCCCCTGCCCCCATTCCTTTCCCTTCCTCCCATTCCTCTCCCCTGTCCCCATTCCTTTCCCTTCCTCCCATCCCTCTCCCCTGCCCCCATTCCTTTCCCTTCCTCCCATTCCTTTCCCTTCCTCCCATTCCTCTCCCCTGCCCCCATTCCTTTCCCTTCCTCCCATCCCTCTCCCCTGCCCCCATTCCTTTCCCTTCCTCCCATTCCTTTCCCTTCCTCCCATCCCTCTCCCCTGCCCCCATTCCTTTCCCTTCCTCCCATCCCTCTCCCCTGCCCCCATTCCTTTCCCCTCCTCCCATTCCTTTCCCTTCCTCCCATTCCTCTCCCCTGCCCCCATTCCTTTCCCCTCCTCCCATTCCTCTCCCCTAATCTGCTCCCAGCTTGCAGATTTCATAGGTCCAGTGCTGGAGAAGACAGGTGGCACGATGCTATTGGTCGACGTGTACTGCATATTCAACCGCGCCAGATGCACAGGTGCGGAATGAACTGCTCTCAACCCAACGCTCTTCACTGTGGGAATTTAATCAAGAATTCAGTGCTGGCAGGCAGTGCTGAGCTGGCAGGCAGTGCTGAGCTGGCAGGCAGTGCTGAGCTGGCAGTGCTGAGCTGGCAGGCCATTCTGCCAGTGGCGAGATGACCAGTGGTGTGGTGAAGGGTTTGCAGAGACTTCGTTTTGTTGACGGGGAAGTAGGAGCAAGTACGCAGATAAATCGAATTCCGTGCTCTTCCTCTTCTGATGTGGCTTCGTGACTGACAGAGTGACTGTGTGGCTATGTGAACCTGCATCATGTGCATCGTTGTGTGTGTGTGTGTTGGGAAGGGGGGGGGGGTGGGGGTGGGGTTGGGGGGGTGGGGGGGTGTGAGTGCGATGCGAGTTCGTGCGTGCGTGCGTGCGTGCATGTGTGTGCCCTCCCATTGCGTCCTCTCAGAGCTCATATCACCAGACGATCTTCTCAAGGCCTGTTCACTCTGGTCCTCCTTCCCCTCGTGAGTCAATCCCACCAAGACAACCAAGAACTAGCAAGTCCTGGTCGAATCGGTGAATTGATTTGCAGGGTACAAATCGCAACTCCCCAAAAATGTCTCTCTCTCTCTCTCTCTCTGCTGCTCTCTCTCGCTCACTTTCTCTATGATGCCCTGCCTTGCAGTTGTACGTTGCTTCGGCTCTAGAATGTGCTTTCTCTTTCTCTTTCTCTTTCTCTTGGTTGCAGCTGACGACTCACACTGACGTCTTTCTTATGCGCTGAATCTCCTCTCCGCCCTTCCCCTTTTGTTATGCTCTCTTTTCTCTCCTCTCCCCTCTCTGGCTATCTTTCTATCTCTCGTTCTCTCGTTCTCTCGTTCTCTCGTTCTCTCGTTCTCTCGTTCTCTCGTTCTCTCGTTCTCTCGTTCTCTCGTTCTCTCGTTCTCTCGTTCTCTCGTTCTGAAATGTCCAGCCCTGCAGTGCTAAGGCGCTTTGACAGTGGCATCCTCGTGGTGCAGCTCAAGACTCACAGCGACGAGCATGTAGGTCCAGTGCAGTACAGTGCGGTGCAGTGCAATGAAGCAATTGGAGTACACATCAAGGTTTTCACTACAATGCATTGACTTGCTATGGTGGATTGAACACACTAAACTTCAGCAACTGCAGGGGCTGTTGTAAACATGATTACACATAAATTTGGATGAATACAGTGCAGATTGTATCCTTCCTCTCTCCGTTCTTGCTCCTGGCCAATGTTCTTCTCCTCCAATCCTATCCCTACACGCACTCGCTCACTTCCCTCCTCATGCTCGCGACAATGTCGCCCGTCCTACACGCTTCCGCCTCTGCCCCTCCTTCCCTGGTCCTCCCCCCCAGCCTTTTCTCCCTGCCCCACCTCCCCTCCCCTGCCCTTTCTCCTCTGCATCTCCATCCATCACTCCTCCCGTCTGTTCCCCTTCGGCGGTCTCTTCTTGTTTCCTCCGCCCTCTCCTTCTCAAACGGTCGTTTGTGTTGATTCAGGGGGGGAACAAACATGCAGGTTTATCCGGGATGACAGGGATCCCTTCTAACACCCCTCATCCCTTAGCATTCCTCTACCACTCTGGCATGCGCAACCGCTTGTGACCATAGTGCATATGTGCACGTCCCCCAGGTTCAGCGGCCACGGGTCCGCCTCTCCTTTTCCCGCTCGCTCTTTTTTGCCCCCATTCTCCCCTCCTCACATTTCCCTTCCCTCTATCTACCCTCTCCGCAGCTCATCCATTCCCTCTCCTCTCCCCCCTCCTCTCTCCCTCTCTTTCTCTCCCCCCTTTTCTTCTCTTCTCCTCTTCCCTCCCTTCCTCGACCTCTCCTCTCCTCTTCCTCTTCACCCGCCTCCTCCTCCACCCCTCTGCATGTAAGCGCACAGCACAGACAAGGTCTACAACTTTCACGCTCCGCCTCCTCCTCCACCCCTATCCCACCTGTCATGCCAGCTCACACACAAGAAGGAACGTGTCATGCCTCCTTCTTTCTCTATCCCCCATTCATGCCAGCCCAAGCCCGCACAAATATCCATTCCCCTCCTCCACTATTCCCCCCCCCTTCATGTAAGCACAAACATCATTTCTATTTCCCGCTCCACTATTCCCCACCCGTCATGCCAGGTCACGCGCAAGATCCAGGAGATGGTGTCGACCAATGAGGCGCTGCAAGTCGGAGTGTCCATTGCTGACGTGGCGCAGGCGCTCGGCGTCTCGCCAGCTGTCGCCAAGGAGGAGTTGCTAGCGGCCGAGGCCAAGGGTGAGCAACACTATGTGCTGCTGCTTTGCTAATTGCTGTGCGTATGCCTCACAGGAGTGTTGTGAAAGAGGAACCGCTAGCAGCCGAGGCCAAAGGTGAGAACAGAATGCTGTCACAGGGTGTCGCTTCGCTAAGTGCTGTATCATCTTAGTGTTCTTAAGGAATATTGCCGAGAAACGGCTGCTAGCAACCGAGGCCAAAGGTATCGTAAGAAGAATGTATGATGCTTAGTTATGTGTTGTTCTGGGTGTCCCTCTTAGTTGAGAGTTGTTCTGTATGATGCTTAGTTAAGTGTTTTTTCTGAGTGTTCTTCAATGGAGAGCTGCTAGCATCAGAGGTGAAGGGTAAGGGTGTTGCTCTTGGTGGGGTTAATGCCCCTTCACTGTTATCCATGTTTCCTCAGGCCATATCATGCACTCTGCGCCATATCATGCATTCTGCGCCATATCATGCACTCTGCGCCATATCATGCATTCTGCGCCATATTCTTCATTTCCGTGCATCAGTGGCAGTCTCTGTGTTTCTCACTTCACTGCTTTAATAGTGTCCTTAGCTATTTACTCAGTTTTCTCGACCCCCACCACCACGATCACTCCATTCAGGTCTCCTGTGTCGAGACGATGCGGCTGACGGTCTCCGTTTTTTCCAAAACTTCTTTGCCACGGCTCACATGTGACATGTGATCTGACAAGCACTACTTCTGTCACTACTCATGTTAGTGTTGTTGACACACACAGCTGCAGCCGATGGTCTCCGCTTTTTCCAAAAATAGAATGCCACGGCTCACTCACATGTGATATGTGATATGATCTGACTCACACCACTGCAATTGCTACATGATGTTGTACGCATGCTGCTGGTTGGTTGGCACACACTACTGCTGTGCCTGCATACCAGGGCATTTCAATGTATGTACATACCGGAGTGGCTATTGTCGTGTACTAGTCTGCCTCAAATGGCTCACTTTGACCCACTCAGTTTTAACGAATTGGAGCATCTAGGTGAGCCAGCCCAAATGGCAACGGTGCGGTGTTGAACTCAGGTGTTTGCCGTATTGGTTGGTCAGGGCGTAGCTACCAAGCTTGCAGGCAAGAAACAAACAAACAACAAACTTAGGCGCATGTCTGTAATGAAATCTTTCTGGAAAAGTAATATGGTAGCGTTTCTGGGCATTTCATTGTATTTTAACACTGTGAAACGAACGTGCGTCTCTATAAAATATTAGAAAATAGCTCTCCCTTTTTTTCCTCTTCATGAAAAACGTTCACCATAAAACGGGTTGATGGAAGCAACAAAAACGCCATGGATGCAGCTGTTGTTCACCCGAAGACTGGTTTGCCTTGCTGAAGCTCGGTGCAAGCCTAGGTCAACGAGGTGTTGTTGTCGCACAGTACGATACTAGATTACGCATGTCGGATATGTTCGCGTGCGTGTAATCTTTCGCATTTCGAATCGTCGAACCCCCCATATTTTCGCGACGAGCCACGACGCAATGGAACCCCTCCCGAATAATCGCTGCAAAACACATAACAGCCGTAGCAGCAGGCTAACCCTAAATGGCGCCGAATGTTCAGACCCGTAATTAGTACCTGTGCCCACGCCGTTTTTCGTGATGCTGTGGAATGCTGAGCTTGATAGTCTTCATCGCCTTTTGTGATGGACGTACCCGTCCGTGACACCCACTGGGTGTCGTCGCTATGGCTCGTCGCGAGAAGGGCGTTCGTGGTGACTTTTATTGCGACTATGTCGTTCGCGATGCTGCTAGTGTGGGTGTACAATTTCTCGTCCGGCGCGAGTCCCGGTGTCACAGCCTTCCGCGATTCGTTAGATTCGTGCGTGGGAGTCGGCCTTGCGTATAACGGAATGCATAGCATGTCGTTCTTCCGCGGTATTGCGTGTTCCAATTTGGTAAACGCAGCCGCCATACGCGGTAAAGCAGGCTTCGATAAAGGAAGCGAGATTCATTACCGTCACATCTTGGCGACTGGAGGTGACAGCAGCAACACCAGCGGCAGCAGCATCGAAATGGGTACTAGCTCTGGAACAAGAAACCTTAGTTCCACTATAGGATATTCAGAAACGGAGAATCCGGAGAGAGACGGTTGTCAAGTCCTATATAACTCCAGCGTTGACCCTCGTGATATAAAGCCCACTTCGTCCTTCAACCACTCCGGCTGCCAGATCGAATGGATCACTTTCTCCACCAGGTGTGGAAAAGGCGTTCAACGCTTAGCTAAGTTCTGCGACTTGGTGGGAGTTCCGTTTGCAATACTCGGTCTGAACGAAACTTGGAAGGGACTCGGCGGCCGTGTGAGGTACTATCGGGAGTACTTAAGGACTCTCCCGCGTGACCGGATTGTGATTGTAACAGATGCTGACGACGTCTTGTTCCTGCCGAATCGCGAGCTGTGCGGACCAGATCAACTCGTTAAAGCGTTCCTCTCAGTCAACGCTCCTGTTGTTTTCGGAGCCGAAATTTTCGCGTATCCGACAGTCGATGTCATCCCGTTTTACGGGCAAAAGCTGAAGTACCCATTTCCGAATCGGCACCTTAACGCGGGGTCTTGTATCGGATACGCATGGGCTTTATCGGAGATAATAGACGCGACGTACACGAGTGACTGTATGGAGGATCAGCGTCAGTTCGTTACTGGTTACTTGGCCCAACCATACCTCTTCAACTCCCTCCCACGGACACCTTACCCCGAAGCAGGTTTTCCTTCAATACAGTCACTCCTTTCGCAACAAACAGCACTAACTGCTACCGCTGAATCAACCACCTCGTCCCTCACGCCTACTCCTGGCACTCTGAAATACCTCTGTGCCCTACCCGGTCCGTTACAAGACCTGATCCCAGAGGATGTCACTCCGGAGAAGCTAGAGGCGGCCAGGCAGGCAGCGCCGCCGCCGTTTATCAAGCTGGACCACTACAACGCTCTCATGGAGCTGCTGGGAGGGCGGCGATTCGAGCAGTTTGAAGTGCAGGGGACGGGAAGTGAAATGAAGGTGTATTCTAGAGTTACTAAAGCGTATCCGTGTATTTTTCACCAATCTGGGGATAAGCTGAAGAGGGGGGTGGTGAATGAGATAGTGGAGAATGGGACCCTGGATGCCATTGCGTTTGAAGGGATGGAATAGCAACTGTGATTTGTAGCTTGAGATAATACAGCAAATACTATCAGAATAAAGTATTATGCCGGCTATAGGACCCGCCGGTAAAAGGGTCCCCCGGGACTCTCTAATGTGTAGTGGGACTCTTTTTCTGGCAAGTTTTGTGAGGACATCCTTTTGCCCCTAATCATTTTGAGACCCCCCTTTTCTGTATACTGTTTCCCCCCGGATATACCCCGCCCCGCCCCTGGGGCTAAAGAAAAACAGGTATTTTAGTGGTGAATGAGATAGTGGAGAATGGGACCCTGGATGCCATTGCGTTTGAATGAAGATGCCAGTTGAAATGTTTCTGGTACGGTGCTGCTGATGTTCCAGAAACAGCTGTAGAGATGATGAGATCTTTTTGATGCAGAACCAATCAGGTAGAATCATGTGCATGCATGCACCTTCACATGTTCTTGCCAGCTGCGATTTCAACTCATTCGCTGTAGCCATTTTGCGGTCTCCCTCTATGCTCCTCACTGCAGCGCCAATTCCCACTGCCACCTTGGCCCCATCAGTAACAGACAACTTGCAAAATCGAACGTCAATGCAGAAGTCACTTCCCTTGCAGCATCTGGAGAAGTGGACAAAGAGAGGAGGATGGCAAAGTGCAGGGTGGTTCAGATGACATTTAGATGGTGCAGAGCGGTTCATTTGGCATCCATGCAGACGAATGAAGCGCCTTTAGAGACAGGCCAGTGCACAAGGTCGGCTCTCCTGTTTTCCGCCCCACAGGTAGTTTCTCCGGCCCACAGGTAGTTTCTCTGCCCCACAGGTAGTTTCTCCGCCCCGCAGGTAGTTTCTCCGCCCCACAGGTAGTTTCTCCGCCCTGCAGGTAGCTTCTCCGCCCCACAGGTAGCTTCTCCGCCCCACAGGTAGTTTCTCTGCCCCACAGGTAGTTTCTCCGCCCTGCAGGTAGTTTCTCTGCCCCACAGGTAGCTTCTCCGCCCCACAGGTAGTTTCTCTGCCCCACAGGTAGCTTCTCCGCCCCGCAGGTAGTTTCTCCGCCCCACAGGTAGTTTCTCCGCCCCACAGGTAGTTTCTCTGCCCCACAGGTAGTTTCTCTGCCCCACAGGTAGTTTCTCTGCCCCACAGGTAGTTTCTCCGCCCCACAGGTAGTTTCTCCGCCCCACAGGTAGTTTCTCCGCCCTGCAGGTAGTTTCTCTGCCCCACAGGTAGTTTCTCTGCCCCACAGGTAGCTTCTCCGCCCCACAGGTAGTTTCTCCGCCCCACAGGTAGCTTCTCCGCCCCGCAGGTAGTTTCTCCGCCCCACAGGTAGTTTCTCCGCCCCACAGGTAGTTTCTCCGCCCCACAGGTAGTTTCTCCGCCCCACAGGTAGTTTCTCCGCCCTGCAGGTAGTTTCTCTGCCCCACAGGTAGCTTCTCCGCCCCACAGGTAGTTTCTCTGCCCCACAGGTAGCTTCTCCGCCCCACAGGTAGTTTCTCCGCCCCACAGGTAGCTTCTCCGCCCCGCAGGTAGTTTCTCCGCCCCACAGGTAGTTTCTCCGCCCCACAGGTAGTTTCTCCGCCCCACAGGTAGTTTCTCCGCCCTGCAGGTAGCTTCTCCGCCCTAAAGGTAGGTAGGTTCCTTGATTGCCCGAAGATTTCCACAAGTAGATGGGGTCTGGAGGGCCGTGCTTGGAACCTTCCAGGAAGCTCGTGGCAAAGAGGATGACGCCGCCTTACAGCTGGCGGTTGAGACGTCTCAAAAGCCGAGGGAGACGGCGAACTAGAGGAGCGGAGAGAAGGGGCGCCGACATGCCATGATTGGATGGGAGGGACCGAATTGGGATGGGAGGGATGGCGAGGGAAGACCTCAAAATGACATTCCGTACCTGTGAGGGATGGGGTGCGTGGGTTGGGGTGGGTTTGGGAGGGTTTGGATGGGTTTGGATGGGTCATATGACATCGCCTTATAGCTGGCCGAGGGAGATGGCCGTTCAGTAGGAGAGGAAAGAAGGGCGCTCGTGATGCCATGGCGTACCTGTGAGGGCTGTTGTGGGGGATTGGCGTTGAAGGGGTACGCGAAGGGTGGGAGCACGATGAGAAGCAGACGACGTCACCATGTAGCTGAGACGGGAAGAGGCTTGTGGTGCAGTGAGGGAGGGCGGTGGATGATGCGTGGATGTAGCTGGGCTAGGAAGGGAGACCGTAGAGTGGAGGATGGAGGAGGAAGGTTTGAGAAGGCCAAATGTGCAGGAGGGAAGGGAGGATGAAGGAAGGAGGGCAGGGAGGAGGGAAGGGAGGAGGGAAGGAAAAAGGGAAGGGAGGAGAGAAGGGAGGAGGGAAGGGAAGAGGAAGGGGAGGAGGGATGGGGAAGGGAGGGAGGAAGGGAAGGGGGAAGGGAGGGGGGAAGGGAGGGGGAAGGGAGGGGGGAAGGGAAGAGGGAAAGGAGGAGGGCGGGGAGGGGGGAAGGGAGTGGGGAAGGGAGGGGGGAAGGGAGTGGAAAAGGGAGGGGGAAAGGGAGGGGGAATGGAGGAGGGAAAGGAAGAAGGAAGGGGGAACGAGGAAAGGGGAAAGGGGAGAGGGGGAAGGGGGAGGTCAAGGGGAGGGGGAAATGGGGAGGGGGGGAAAGCAAGGAAGTTGACGAGTCCTTGAACGTCTTACAGGCTAAGGCATACGGGAGAGGGCATACAGGATAGGGCATACAGGATAAGGCATACATGATAGGGCATACAGGCTATGGCATACAGGCTAGAGCATACGGGATAAGGCATAAATGATAAGGCATACAGGATAAGGCATACAGGATAAGGCATACAGGATAAGGCATACAGGACAAGGCTCACAGATTCAGGGTCACTCACGGGATGTAGATGCAGGAGTGCCGTTGGAGAGCACATGGCCATTGAGAGTGGCACAGCGTGAATCGGCCCCTGCTGTACTCCCTCCTTCCCTGCGAGGGGGAGAAACAAGCGGAGCAAGCGGGATAAGCGGGGCAGGAAAGACAGGGTATCGCGGGTGACTCAGCCTCGCTGTACTCCTTCCCTATAAGGGGTGGTGCGGGAGTGTTAAAGGTGAGAGGTGACAGAAGGAAGAGAAAGGGGAAATTAAGCAGGTAAGAAGAGGCAACAAGGGAGCACACAGGCATTGAGAGTGGCACAAAGTGAGTCGGCCTTGCTGCTCTGATTCCATGCAAGGGGGGGGGGGGGGGGCGAGAGCAGGTGCCAGGTGATAGGTGACAGGAGAGAAAGGGGCAGGCTATGAGGCACCAAGAGACAGGTTAGCGGCAGATGGACTCGAGTGGTGCATAGCAGTTGGCAGAGCGAGAGTCGGCCTTGCTTCTCTGCTTCCATGTGAGGGGTGATGCAAAGGGAGCGATGAAACGGAAAGGTGAGGCCAAGGAGAGAGCACTGCACACGGTAAGAATCAGTTTTGCTGTGCTCCTTCCTGTAAGGGGTGGTGCAGAGAGGGGCAGATAGTGGGACAAGGCGAAGCAGGCGAGGTGAGGGCACAACGGGATGCCCAGTAGGTCAGAGAAGGGATGGGACGGGAGGGGAGGGAGGGGAGGGGAGGGGAGGTGAGGGGAGGGGAGGTGAGGGGAGGGGAGGGGAGGGGAGGGGAGGAGAGGGGAGGGGAGGGGAATGGAGGGAGGGGAGGGGAGGGGAGGGGAGGGGAGGGGAGTGGAGGGGAGGGGAGGGGAGGGGACAGGAGAGAGGGAAGGGGCGGGGAGGGGAGGAGAGGGAAGGAACGCGTTGCTGGTGCTGCTCCTTAGAATGCAACGAACGCGCCCTTTCAGCACCACGTGGGTGGGTGGATCATCCCCTTTACCGCCCAGTGCCCACCAGCAGGTGACTTTTGAGTCGACTCAAAAAGTCTCCGGGAACGCAACAAACGGGCCCTTCCAGCACCACGTGCGTGGGTGCTGGATCGTCCCCGTCACTGCCCACCAGCAGAAGGTCGCGGACCTATCCAGAGCCGACATGTGGCGACAGGATCCTGACGGTGACGGGAGGGGGAAAGAGCGCGGGGTGGGGAGGGAGGGGGAGGAGGGGGAGGAGGAGGGGGAGGTGGGGGGGCTGGAGAGGAGAGGGAAGTAGATGTCTGTGGACTTAAAAACAGCCGACAAATGGCGGCAGTCTGTGATGTGATCGCCCACCAGCAAAAAACGTGGACTTAAAAACAGCCGACAATTGGCGGCAGGAGCTTGAAATCGGGTGTGGGAAACGCTGGGCGGGTGGGAGCGGGGGGCGAGCGGAGGTTGTATGAGTGATAAGTAGTAAGGGCGAAGTTTTAGCAATGGGGGTGACAGGAGTCGGCATGAAGTCGCACGAGTGCGAGACGGATTGCACGCATCGTAGCACGGAGAAGCTGCCTTTGCACAGTAGGTCGTAGTGCCGCGTTAGGGAGAGGAGGAGAGGGTGAGGAGAGGAGGAGAGTGTGAGGAGAGGAGGAGAGGTTGGGGAGGGGATGAGGGGGTGTGGAGGGGATGAGAGGGTGGAGAAGGCATGAGAGGGTGGGGAGAGGATGAGGGGGTGGGGAGGGAATGAGAGGGTGGGGAGGGGATGAGCGGGTGGGGAGGGGATGAGCGGGTGGGGAGGGGATGAGCGGGTGGGGAGGGGATGAGCGGGTGGGGAGGGGATGAGCGGGTGGGGAGGGGATGAGCGGGTGGGGAGGGGATGAGCGGGTGGGGAGGGAACGAGAGGGTGGGGGGAAGATGAGAGAGCCAGTTCCCTGCACCTCACTCGTCGTCGCGCACTTCACTCCGAATCGCTGCTTATAACCGGCCTTCGCTGCACATTCGCAGCCTTCGCCACGTCTCGCGAAGCCTGCCTTCCAAGGCTGCTCGCTCCCAGCTCACTCCTCCCCGGCGGTCAGGCTTCCCATCCGACTCGAGCGTTGCGCGTCGTCAGCGTGTGTTTTGAGTCGATTCAAAAGGTGTGTTTTGAGTTGACTCAAAACACACAAGGCTGCTCGCGCCCACCCAGCTCACTCCTCCCAGGCGGTCAGGCTTCCCTTCCATCCAAGTCGAGCGTTGCGCGTCGTCAGCGTAGAGAGTCGCCGCGTCGCGCGTCGCCGGCCGCGTCGGGGCGGATGGCGTTGCGCTGAACGGCGAGCGGACGCTTGAGAGGCGCTGGGTGCGGGGAGGTGGACTCGAGTGCCACTGGCACTCGAGTATTCGGCGGAGTTGCGCTTAACGGCGCGCGGAATTTTGAGAGGCGCTGGGCACGCGGAGGTGGACTCGTGTGGTCCGGCGGAGGCGGTACTGCGACGAGCGGCGCTGCTCATGAGGGCCCCCCGGCGGCGAACCATGGGAAGGATTACTACCAAGGGGTGCTGGGAGGAACACGCAGCACGACGCCGCGGCGCAAACGGGTACAGTTACTCTCGAGAGTCACGACGCGACATTATCGAAAGCCACGACGGGACACCATGGAGGCGACGCGTGGAAATCGCGTCGCGTGGGGGCATGCTGGGCTGAAAACTGTTTGCACTGCAGTGCGTGCAGTGGAGAGGACTCCGATAAATCAACCTGCTTTGCATGACGTGTGTGTTGTGTGTGATATCGCTCGCCTGTAGGGTTTCAGTTGAAACCAAACCAGGCTGACAGCCATGCTGTACACGTGGCACCAGGATGAAGGAACGGATGGTCGGTGAGACCCACGGAACACGACCGGGAACTGCCAAAGCGGAAAATAAACGCGAAATTATTGCTCGTTACAGGCATACCTTTCTCGGCCTTTTGGCTAAGATCAAGTGTAGTATCTGTTCTTATCAGTTTAATATCTGATACGTTGACCATCGGTCCACATGATGTTAAATTAATTTCTTTTGGGGGCAGGTGCCAATGGCCAGCTTGCTGGTCGGCCCTGCAAGCGTCGCCTCAGTATTGCACTAACTCTGAGGAAGGCGCACCCCTCCCCCAAAAGGGGTCCAAACAAAAATCAGAAATGGGATTCAAATAAACAAGGATTTGTGAAAAAGCTTGTGATGTCAAAGAGTGTTTGTAACATTGTTGTGTTACCCTACTTAGCCTATGTTAGGGTTAGGCATATGCACCAGCTTTCTGCTCTGTTCATACAACTCTGCTGTCTTGCACTCCTGACATGGTATCATCGTAGGTCGATTCTAGCCAATGGACCGCTCGCCTGGTACTGGTAGCTCCTAACGTGCCCTAGCCAGCCAGCCAGCCTGCCCGCTAACTCCGCCTTCGTCAGTCAGCCAGCCAGCGCACTGCCCGTTAGTGCGCATGCCGCCAGCCAGCGCGCCCCGCCAGCTAGCCACACCACCCAACCAGCGCGCCCCGCTAGTGCGCATGTCGCCAGCAGCCCGTACCCCGCCAGCGCACCCTGTCTGCGCATGCCCCGCCAGCCATCACGCGCCTTGCTAGCGCGCGCCCGCCAGCCAACCAGCGCGCGGCTCGCCAGCCAGCACACGCACCACTAGCGCACGCCCCGCTAGCTAGAAGGGCGCCCCGTCAGCCAGCCTATGAACTGCTAGCAGCACGCCCCGCTAGCCAGCCCCCGCCTCGCAAGTAGCGTGCACCGCTAGCCAACAAGCCGCAACCTCCTAGCAGTGGCTGGAAGTCACAATACGATTTCTGGCGCCGTTTAAGGTTTCGGGTTAGCTCATAGCCTGCCCTTCCTAGCCTGCTGTTGCCGTTCCTAGCCTGTCGTTCCTAACCAGCCGTTCCCAGCCAGCCATTCATAGACTGCCGTCTCTAACCGTTTTCCTGCACCATGGCGTTCGTCAGAGTTCTGCGGTTCGGCGCAGAAAATCGAGCTATATATTTTAGCATCGGGCTGGTGCACGTCAAGCTTTACATCCAGAGCTGGCGCTAAGACGGTAACACGTTGTACGCTCACACGTCGGATGATCTCATGCCCCTCCGCATCCCACCCAACTGCCTCCTGAGCACACTGGCACGGACAATGAGAAGTTTGCTGCTCGCCACACGGAGTACTCATTGTGGGAGTCTCGCAACTCTGCTGCACGAGTCGCTCTCAGCAGTCTCCTCCCTAAAGCCGAGTGCGTCTATTTCAGCAAGGTTATGTCAACGAAGGAGTGCTATGATGCCATTGTCTCTCGTTATTCCACTCCTTCCTCTGCCTCTCTCGGATGCCTCCTCTTGCCGTTCTTCTTCCCAGACCTTGCTGCGTTTCACACTACTGCTGACCTAGTCAGTCACCTACACTCACTCGACGCAAGCTAATGTGTTGTCTGTACCACTGCCTAGCTTACTAGCCACCCCCCTGGCCGCCTCTTGTGCTGCATGCGACACGTTTCTCCGAAAGGGTCACCACTCTCAACAACATCAAGGGGGGTGTGCTGCACCCCAGCTTCTGACCTTCACTTCTTCACTTGCTGCTGTTGAGTCGTCTTTTACTGAGGAGACCGCATTTGTTTCTACCACTGGTTGGCACAAACAGGGTAAGGAAGGTAAGAAGGGGGGGATGGGTGGCCGAGGTGGAGCTAGTGGAGGTAGTGCAGGTAATTTTGCGTCAGGAGGAGGCGACTCTGGAGGCAGGGCCTGCACTACAAATACGATGATTGGGGGTGCTGGCTCCGGGGGTATGGCCGGGACACAGTAGCAGCAGCAACAACAACCTAAGTAGCAATACCCGGCATAGCAGCAGGGGCAGCAGCAGCAGCAGCAGCAGCGGGAGTTCTAGCATTGGGGACCTCAGTTGCAGTGCGGACCTGGTGATTTGGGGAGTGACTACCGTAGCAGCGGCCCTACCACCTGGGTCTCTTGCCTACAGGTTTCGCCGTCCCGTCTCTGGACCAGGTCTCCTCGTGTCGCGTCTGCGTTTCATGTCCTAGGCTGATGTCCACGATCCTTGCGCGGACAAGCTCTCAACTCGCACATTGCCATGTGTCTTCCTTGGATTTCTAGTTGATGCCCCTGACTGTCTGTTCCACCACCCTCCCTCCCACCGGTTCTTTGACTCCCACAACATCACTTTTGATAAGTCCGTGTCCTTTTACGTCCGCTACCCCCTTCGAGGTACCCCGGTTCCCCCCCCTTCCCTCTTCCTCACTCCCACTCGTCCTCTTGGTCCCGCTCCTCTAGTATTCCCACCCCACCCAGGTCCTGCCCTGTCTGGTGTGTCTCACGCTAACTCCCCCTCTTCGGTTGCCCCTCCTATGTCGTCACCCTCACCCCAGACCCCTACGTCGTCCTCACAATCACCACAATAACTTTCGGAGTTGCCGCGGCAGGTCGCAGTGGACTATGGGGTTGATGACGCCGGAGGAGCTGATGCTGGAGGTGATAGTTCTATTTATGCAGGTGCTGACAGTGGAGGTGCCGATGCTAGTGGTGCTGGTTCTGTGGGTGTTGCTGTTGGGGGTGGTGGTGCTCGAATTGCTGGATCTGGGGGTGCTGTTGTGGTGGGTGTTGGAGCCGGAGGTGCTGATTCTGGGTGTGAGAGTACGACGGCTTATGCCAGCTATGCTTGCTTGCCTTTACTTTATCATGCTATTTCTAGCATAAGATAATTATATGCATGCATGAATTGTTTGATTTCCTAGGCTAGGTGCTTTCCTATATTTTATTATAGTTATAGCACCGAGCTAGGTTGCGTGCACCGAATTCTGGCTTTTCGGGTGCCACCGAATTGCCTTCTACCATCTTCGGGAAGGATCTGTTCAGGACGCTTCGCGACCCGCGGAACCTTCGCGTAACACCTGGTTACGGGGCCTTGTGTCGAGCCTATATATAGCCTCGTGTTGTACCCATGTGATCATTCAATTCAATTACAATTCTCTTTTCTGAGCTCGATCCTAGATCCTCATACTTGGTAATCAGAGCCTGTTTGCAAGCGAAGTTTTTCGACCGCTTAAACCTAGCTTTTAAAACCGCGGGGGCGACGACGGAAAGCGCCGATTTCGGGTACGTAAACCAGTTCCGCGCTATTTTCTAACGTCCCCCTCGAACCGGTTTTCGAACACTCCTCAGGTCCAGTGGCGAAAAAGTTGGAATTTCGACCGTCGGA